AAAAAAAAAAAAAAAAAAAAAAAAAAAAAAAAAAAAGAAAAAATATTTTAATTTTTGGTAAAAGAACATTTTTTAGTTATTTATTTAATAATATCGATTTAACTTTTTTTTTTTCTTTTTTTCAAAATATAGAAAAATTGGGCATAATCTATATATTATTGGCTTCTCTAATTAAAATTTTACCTTATTTTTTTTTTTTTTTTTAAATTATTATTGATTATATGTTATAATTTTATGGTAATATTGTTCCTATTGAGATGAGATTTCGTAATTTTTTTATTTTCTTTTTTTATTTAATTATTTTATTCATTTCTATGATTGTATTCTTTTAAATATTTCTTCATGTCGACATTTTACATTTGAACATTTAAAAATCAATTTAGTATTTTCAATAGCTTCTAAAAGATATTTATGCACTAAATCGGAACTCCACTGAGCTAGATGTTTTGTAGTTTCTATATCATCATCATCCTGATTTTCTTTTTTTATTTTTGATAAACTTTCATCCTCTATTTGTGATATACTTTCAAAACCAACTTCGGAGTCAGAGTAAACCGGATACACATGCAAATTTCCTATAGAAAAAAGATAAATATATGCATGAATTAAATAAAAAGTAAATATGATACCATTTTAATATTCTGTTATATTTTTATTATAAATACCTTCTTCTCCTTCTAAATACAAAAATCTATTTTTTCCACTTTTTTTATTTTCCAAATTCTCTTTTTCTGTAGTATCTAGTTTTTTAACTTTGGCATGTTTTGTTGCTGTAAAGGATTTTATAGAAATTCATATATATATTATTATTTTTTTTTTTTTTTTTTTTTTTAATCCTATAAAATTATATAAGTTTACACACACATTAATATATGTTTAAAAATAGCTTATGTGTTTTTTTATATTCTTATAAAATCATATGTATTAATATTATTTTTTTATTTAATAGAATAAAAATATTCTTACCAATTAACCATCTCTTTTCATTAATTTTAATAACTTTTTCATTTTTTCTTTTATTTCTTAAATTAAATTTTGTTAAACTTTTGTTTTCACAAAACTTTCTATCATTAGTTTTAATAATTTTATTGGATGTGTTTTTAGATGTAGGAAAAATAACATTAACCATCTTACTATTTTTATCGTCTTTTAGAATATATGTAGTATTATTTGTTTTATTTAAATAATTTCTTACTTCATAATTATTTATATTTATTAATTCCCTCCTTTTTACATTATTATTCAGTTTAGAAAAGTACACATTTTTATTTTTTAAAGAGTAAGCATTAATAGAATTTTTCTTGAAATCATTTATTTCATTTCTCAATTTATTTATTTTCAAGTTAAAGTTTTCAATTTTATCATTCCATCTATAATCTAATGTTTCCATTATTTTATTATTTAAATAAGATTATTATAAGTTCATTAATTTAAGAAAAAAATAAAAAAAAAAAAAAAAAAAAAAAAAAAAAAAAAAAAAAAAAAAAAAAAAAAAATAGATGCATAGATTTATGAAAACAAAACAAATGAAATAACAAAAAAATAAAAGAGTTGACAAAAAATTATATATTCCTTATATATTTAAAAAAAATAATATTTTTTTTTTATATATGTTTCCATGAAAAAAAAAAAAAATGATAAAAATTTTGTCAAAATATTATAATATTTATAAATATTTATTTAAATTTTATGATTCTTTTTAATTATGAGGAAAATTGCATATTTATATGAAAAAATATATAACTATAACCAATTTTATGTGTACATACATTTTAATTGATTTAATATTAAAATAATTTAATATATTAGATATACTTTAAAAATTATTATATTAACTTTATAATATGTATTTTTTTTTTTTTTTTTTTTTTTTTAAATAATAGATTTTATATATTTTTATCATTAGATAATCACATATTTGTCTAGTATGTGTTTAGTATAATCTCATTCCCAAATGCAATTTTTCATTTTATATTTTTGTATAAATATATTGATTAAATTATTATTATTAGATAAACATGTAGAAGAATAATTATATTCTGTTAATTTTTCTTCTATTTCTATGAGATTATATGAATCAATAGATGCATAATTTATTTGATCTTCTGTTAGTGGCCTTTTTCTCCAATCAGATAATTGCAATTGTTTATTTAATTTTCTTTTTAAAAAATTTTGACACATATCATTAAGACTTTTAAAATGTATTTTATTAATTTTTTCATGAAAAATAATGGTATTTTCAAATTTATTGCAATTATTTTTTATTTTATTATTTAAATCGTAAAGATTACTATTTATTACTTTTTTAAATAAATCAGTATCATTTTTTTCAATAATATCTCTATTAAATAACTCAAAATTAAAAACATTATAATCACAATTGATATTTTTATCACTTTTTGTGTTTATGTACAATGGGTCTTTTAGATCTATCACATTCACAAATGAATTTAAATGAGAAATATTTTGAAAAAATGAAGATATTTTCTGCATATCAGAAGAAAAATTGTAAAATAATTTGTATATGAATGGATTTTCTAATAGCCACTTAAAAAAAGAATATGTTAATAATTTAAAATTATAATCAATATTTAATAAATCAACTATATATATTTGTTTATTTGTTGAAATTGAAATTATGCTCACTTGTTGATTTTTATACCATTCTAAATCTATAGCAACAAAATATCTCTTTTTTTTTTTTTTTAAATTATCATTAATATCTTGTATAGTGATTATATTGCCATGTGATTCTATATTATATGTATCTTCAATATTATAAATTTTTTCTTCCCAATGTTTTTGTTGCTCATTTTTCAGGGATATCATTAATTTTTTAAATTCATTAATATTCCTCAAAAGTAATATATTTTTCATATTATAAGGTAAATTATAATATTCATTATTTATATTATTACTATATTCATAGTTTTCCCCTTTCTTTGTCTCATCATTTATTTCTATTTTTTTTACACCATCTATTTTTCTAACTTCTGAATTATACAAAAGTAAATATTCCCTTGTAGCTAAATATCCCCAGTAATTTGATGGAAATCCTATTAAAAGAGAAAATATATATGAAAATTAAATAAAACAAAATAAAATAAAAAATAATATGAAGGATAAAAAATTAACTAATAATATAGAAAAATTAATAAAAAAAAAAAAAAAAAAAAAAAATCATATAAAATATCAAATAAAAATGAGATATAAGTTTATATAGGAATTTTCAAGTAACTGTACCTGTTAATGAATCAGCAGATAATAAAAAAAGGAAAATTTCTTTTTTCAAGCAATTATATTTTAATGAATTCAAAAATAAGAAAAGCAAATTTTTTGATTGAATATTTAAAATATTTTTTAGTAAAATTAAACAATTAAATGTAGAATCTTTTTTAAAAGGTTTAGTAATACTCATTTTTTCTGAATAAAATAAAGATGCTAATTCAACAGCATTAGAGAAATATATTTTATCATTGAGAAATTCATGAAATAAGTAGTCTATATTTTTTACATTCAATTTTTCTTTTAATTGATTTTTATCATAATTTATGTTATTTAGTACATAGAAAAAATTTTTATATTTAATAATTTCACATAGTAAATTAATATTTAATCTATTCATGTTATTTATGTTATTTTTAAAATAAAATTCTAAACTATTTAATACCATATCATGTATAACAGTTTTTTTACTCTTTTTTAATGAAGGACTTACGGATTTTATTATATCATCATTAAAAATGCAAAAAATAAACTCTCCATTTTCATTTGTACTTTTAAAAATCTTGTGATAACATTTAATCAAGTTAAAATATATCCTTTTAATATTATCTTTATATTCGTCTACTGTTGCAACATTCTTAGTATTCAAAAATTTTAAAACAAAAAATATTACATTAGCAGATATTTCTTCAACTTTCTTATTTTTACATAAGGGTTCTATTATATCATATATATTTTCTTTAACATATATTTTATTATTTGCAGAATGATCAAGGTCTATTAAAATATCAGAATCACAGATATGATTTTTAGTTGAGTAATTTTTTTTTGGCCATGTTTTTTTTAATTTTTCAAAAAAAAAATCTTTACATATTTTATCACTCTTGTTTTCATATATGTGAAGTGATGAGTAATTTAATTTGACCATTAATTTATTAATTTTACTGGGAAATGTGGGAAATAATTTGAATCCATATTCAGTAGTAGAAAAATAATTTTGTTTATTGCATTTTAATTTTATACAATGCTTTTGCATACTTCTTCATTTAAAAATTTTTATATACAAAAAAACATATTATATTTTACATAATTTTATTATATTAAGTATTTTCATATCTATAACCATTAGGATATATTGTAGTTTTTTGTATAAATATTTAAATGTTCCCTTTTTTTTAAATTCTCATTAAGTATTTTTCTTTAAACATTTTTAGATAATAACTATACACATGAAAAAAAAAAAAAAATGTAATTCAACGATAACTCATAAATAAAAAAATATATATATATAAAAAATTAGTAATTAATAAAAAATTATTTTTTAGAATAAATGTATTTTAATTTGTTATTAAAAAATTTTATATAAATAATATTATTTCGAAAAAATTTGTACTTCTATAAAAATTCATACTACTGTTTTATTTATAATAATTCTTTTTTAAGAATAATTCTCTTATTTTTTAAAAAATATTGTTGAATTTTCTATAAATTTTCTTTATAAACACATAGCTCTATTTAGCTTTATGTAATTTTTTTTTAATATATGCACAAAAATAAGAGTTCATATTAAGATATTTATTAAAAAAAAAAAAAAAAGAAAAACAAATTTAAAAATTAAGGAAAAGCAAACATAAATATCAAAATTTTATATGAAAAAACAACATTAAAATTATTCATTAAAATATGAAAATAAATAAAAATTATATAAACTGTAATATTCTTAATATTTATATCATAAACGTGAAAGTAAACTACTAATTAAAAAAATGAAAATATATAATATACTAATTCATTACATTAACGTAAAAAATTTTTTTAAAATATAAAACAAAAAATTTTTAAATTGTCAAAAACGTTTATAAAACTTCATTAATAACAAATTTCATATAAGTATACAAATTTAGAATAATATATAAAATAAAAAATTATATATAAAAAAATATAAAATTCAAATGTTGCAAATAAAAAAAAAAAAAAAAAAAAAAAAAAATTT